CAACACTGGAAGTTTTTAAGAAGAAACTGGACAGCCATTTGTCCGAAATGGTATAGGGTTTCCTGCCTGAGCAGGGGGTTGGACTAGATGACCTCCGAGGTCCCTTCCAACTTTATTATTATTATTATTATTATTATTATTATTATTATTATTATTATTATTATTATTATTATTATTATTATTATTATTATTATTATTTCAATCATTGCATGGATATACAATAATTGTGCTGAATCATGTTGGGGAGCTGAGAGTGGCTTTTTTTAACACAATCTTATAGCTTATAGGCAAACTATTAGTCTCTTAAATTTGTTCCATACTAAAGAAAACTGAAAACAGACTGGGAGCTAGTTATTTTTTTGATAGAATCTCACATGAATTGTGTTAAGATTTCAAATTACCCCAGCTGCATTAATCTGTAGAAAATACCACCCAATCCTACTATAACAAAGACTCTATATACTGCCCATCTCAGGTTAAACAACTTGCTCATTATCATCCCTTATTCCCAATATTCTCTGGAAACATTTTTAAATTGTAGTTCAGTGCCAATCAGGAAATAACATACTCACCTGGATCCTTTTTATGTTTATGCATTCTTCTTTTTCATATATTCCATTTGTTTCTTCTTTCAACTTAAGTTTTTTTTCTGCATATTTATCTTATATTAGAGGAATTTTAGAGGCCTTTCTCCTAGGTTTTGTTTGTTTTTGCAGAGGAGGATATATATACTTTTTTTGTACTGTTGCATAGCCTTGCAAATTTTCAAAGTATAAAATTTGGAAATAATATCGATGGAATGATTCTACTGCTGGAATAAAAAGTATTGTTCTGAAAAATAAGGGAGTGGTATACAGTTAGCCATCGCTTTATGTCCAATTGAAGAATTTTGTGGTGGTTGTTGAGAATGGAACCTTCTGAGGGTTGACTTTTTATACTCAGCATACTTTCAAGATTAAGCTCCTGTGGTTGAATTCAGCAGGGAAAGATAAGTGAGTCACATTTCCATTGAAAATATTTTTTTTTTCAGTTTGTCAGGCAAGTTTTTGCAACTGCTTGAAATATTTTGTAACATGCTTAGAGCTGGTAAATCAACTTGAATGTGTTTGGGGGTACCTTTATTTAAACACTTTGTATACCATAGTGCGGTTGATTAGGCAATAGTACTTAACTATGCTGCAGGTACAACAATACAGATGCAGAAAGTTCTAAAGCATACAAAGATAAAAACTAACTTCTTTATCTTACTCCTTTTCCTTGGAGGAAACAACAGAATAGCAACAGCATTTAGACTTATATACCACCTCATAGTGCTTTACAGCCCTCTCTAAGCAGTTTACAGACTCAGCCTATGGCCCCCAACAATCTGGGTCCTCATTTTACTGACCTCAGAAGGATGGGAGGCTGAGTCAACCTTGAACCACTCAGAATCGAACTCCTGGAGTGAGCAGTGAGTTAGCCTGCAGTACAGCATTCTAACCACTGCACTTCTACTATGGCTCTCTTCAGTTTCCCATCCCAATTAGTGTCATTAAACAAGGACTACCTCTAATATCAAGTGGTAGGGATACTCAATATATTTTGATACATACTTTGATATTTTTATAATATAAATAGTTTACGCATCCAGTGAAAATTATTAGAGCATATATGAGAAAAAGTCAGTCCTGAACATTTGAATAATTAGGAATATTTAATTGTAACACTGTATAGTAGTAAAGAGTGATGATCACTTTATAGTCTAAAGAACCTATAAAATATTTTAAAAGAAACATTACCTCAAATTCTGGAAACTGGCCCATTTGGCTCAGTGAAAATGTATTACATATTTTGAAAGCCTAGAAAGTTATAGCAGCAGTGAAAGTTGAAAGTACATAATCCTATATTTTTCATTCAGACTTACTGAGTGTAGTGGATTTTATTCCCATTTAATATGTATAAGTTTATAGCTTTAAAGTACTTGTATTTTTATAAGTTCCATTCGTTTCACTATGCAGTTCATATCCCTGAATCATCTATATTAATATTATTGACACCATATCCTATTTATATTTCACAGTAAACATAGCTGAATATGTTAGATATACTTTGAAAAGGTATCAATTTCTTTTAACTATGCATATTGTGTATCTTTGATATATTATAGACTGATTATGGATGAGGTGCCCAAAACCAGTAATAACAATTCATCAACATCTCCACAAATAGCATCTTTACAAGGTACCACTCTACAGGAAGCTCAACTTTCTCATGTTTCTCAACAGGTAAAAACAGCTAACTATGAGCAGACCCTTGAAGGAGTTTTAAGTAGGCTACTGCGGAGTTTTCCTTTCTAATGTTTGCTTTCTAAATAACTTCAATAAGTATGTATATGAACTCAAAGGGTCTTAGGTAATCATGTACTTCCAGAAGAAAACTCAAAATATATACAAATATATTATAATATATTTGCACACCCCATAATATCTGAACACTTATTCTCTACTGATTTAGAAGGTCCATCTAGTTCTAGTCCATCTGAACTAGTTTAGCAGTGAAATGGAGAATTAGTTTTCTCTGGAATATACCCAATGCTTTTGAAAACCCAAGTTTTTAATTTAAAATATTTCTGAAAAGATGTCTTCAAATATCAGAATCATAAATATGCTAAACTTAAAAACTGAATTATAATTATTGTGATACTTGTTTAAAATATTTGCTCCCAAGAAAGTATCTACTTCTTGCATAACAAATAAAAGATAATTACATAGATTCATATGGTCAGAAGGGACATTGGAGGCCTTCTAGTCCATCCTCCTGTTGAAACATGGTCACATCCATGTAGTTTTCTTGGCAACTGTACAGGTTTACCTTTATTCTCTTCTTCAACTTTCTAATAAGGTTTTCTTGCTCAAGTATTAACCAGGCCAGTCCTATTTCATTTTCTGAGATCAGCCAGAGTTGGCTAGGTGCTGCCATCTGTTGAGGCCTTCAGCAAATATATCAGGAGGAAAATAATGATGCATCACAAATAATGCAACACCAAGCACTGACATTACATTGTCTCCACTCCTTTTTGTGGAGATTATTCATGTGCTTAAGATATTTTGAATAGAGAGGTGCACTACTTATACTGTATTTGCTCATTCTAAAATTAGTGTTGCAAATTCTTTAAATTTAAGAAATTCTTACCCAATAAAATTTAAACAGCAGCACAACAATAGTATCTGAGAAACCTAAGCAAGTGGTTGTATTTTGTATGTTTTTAGAATTTTACTAGAC